TGTATGTATGTATGTATGTATGGTGCCGGCAAGAGCCTGACACATCTTTCGAGATGTGAGAGTTAAGCATGTGCTCAGTATGTTTGATCAGGGAGTTTTGCACTCTTTCAAATGTGTCTTCGAGTCTTCGACACCCTAAGCCTTAAACACCCCTAAACCCTGAACATTACACCCTGAACCCTAAACCTATGCCCTAAACCTTTTCCTCTCCATCCCCTCTGCAACAACTTTCAGCCCCTGAAATCATGGCCGCTTCGCCCCAGGATGTATTCTAGTATGCACTGCAGTGGGGCCTCTGCGGTTGACAAAGTGACGCAGCCTCAGCGGTTTGAGGGTTTAGGGTTCAGGGTTTATGGCTTGTGGTTTAAGGTTCTTGTCAGAGCCATGCATATGCCAGGGTCTTCTATAGCTAGTGATATTAATGATAGCGCTAGTGTTTCGTAATGTAAGTTCCCAGTCCTTGAAACAAAGATGGCACTGGTGAAGGCGAGAGTCACTAGCAGAAGCCGGCATAGACAAAGGAAGCACAAATGCATTCTGTCGTTTTTCAGCAAATAGGTTGCATGTTGGGAAAATCACTGATCTCCCCTACTGCTTTCGTTAAGGAGCAGATTCATAAATGATCTTGGGGGTTTTGGAAGTACCACCCGAACGAGGTGGGCATGCGGCTGTGGGGTAGGCACACAACAGAAGTCGCCTAGAAAGAAAGCATGCTCTACCCTCAACCCTATAAACCCTAAACCGCTACTCGCATCCTTCAGCTGCTCTTGCTGTCAAATCATGTGTAATGCTGACATACGCCACAGCCTGTGACTAAGCTTGAAGATTTCAGCGTTGGAAAGCTTCATGGTTGTATGCAAAGTGGACTTCAATGTTCCTGTTGCAGTGCATGCAACCTGCATTAAGACCACCAGCGCAGACAATTCAGGTCGATAATGCAGGTATTTACCAAGGACCTTATCCTCCGTAACCCCAATTATAACCACAATATTACCCAATTATAATCCCAATATTACCACAATAGGACCCCAGTATTACCCCAATAGAACCCCAATATTATCCTAGTATTCGCCCAAGGCCAGGGGATGGCTTTAGGCTCAGTAGAGACAGGCAGAGCCCCTACAAAAATCAGCTGTCGTAATAGTAATAGTAACAGTCATAGTAATAACAGTAGCAGTGATAGTAACAGTGATAGTAATAGTTATAGCAATAGTAGAAGTAAATAGTAATAGTTGCCTGAACGTTATTCCTCGGGCCCATAGAGCCCTTTGATCAACCACATGCGGTTTTTGCCGAGTTTTTCTGCCTCAACCTCTACGTGAGCCATGATCTAAACTCCATAAAAGGTTTTTCTTTTTTTTCTATAGGGGTTAGTCAGGGGATGCCAGGAGTGTGGACTATAGCTGATATGATATGTCGCTCTATAGGCTACGTCAGAACCGTTTCTGTAAACACTCCCACACTTGGAGGGTAATGCGGCAGTTTTATGTCGAGTGTTCAACGGGTTGCTGTTGAGGAACTTAAGTTACTAAAAAGCAGGAAACTCTATTACATACCATATACCCATATTATGGTAGCGTGAACTCAGTTCCGTAACAGCAACCCAGTTTAAATAGGGTCACCAGAATCATCCTACTCGGAACATTGCAATCATGAGCGGCCTTTAGGTGATCCCAACCAGATCAACATCAACTCTGCCCTCTGTAGTCATTGTAGACATGTTATACGTATGCACACAGACGCATAGACCCATAGAACCTCTACATTACCCCTATGTATACCCCAGGCCCGAAATCCGAAGCCTACGCCCTCAACCTTAGGGTTGAGGGTTTAAGGTGGAGGGGTTCCTTACAATCCCCTAGGGTTTAGGGTTTCGGGTTTAGGGTTTGGGGTTTAGGGTTTAGGGTACTTTAGGATTTAGGGTTTAGAGGTTTAGGGTACTTTAGGGTCCAGGGGTTTAGGGTTAAGGGTACTTTAGGGTTTAGACCCTGAAACCCCTCACCCCTTAAAGTCCAAGCTCTTGAGGACCTGCTTAGCCCTCGGGAGAAAATCGCTGGAGAGCCTCCTTGGTCCTGGTGGCAGCGTCTTGCGCAGAAGCTTGGGACCGGCTGAGAGGCTAGAGGTTGGTTTAGGACTTAGAGTTTAGGGTTTAGGGGTTTCGGATTCAGGGTTTAGGGTGTAAGGTTTACAGGGATAGGTTTGGGCACATCCGTTAGTTTTATTAGCCTTAATCCTTCTGAACGACTGTGCAATATGTAACACGTCTTTCTTAAAGGGCCCCCAAACCTACCCTAGCTTAGGGTTTAGGACTTGGGGTCCAATGTTCAGGTCGTGGGGTTTAGGATTTCCGTTTAAGGTTTGAAGGGGTTACCTATAGACCCTTGCAGGGTACCCTTCTTTTGAAGGTCTCCAAATGCATATGGAAGATATAGCCGTAAAGTTAGACACACTCAAGAACGAAAAGGCACATGGTTTCTAGGTAGGAGTTGGTGGTTCAGGGGTTGAGAGGTTTTGGTTTGAGGGGTCTAGGGCGCAGGGATTGAAAGGAAAGGGGGGAGGAGCCGGGGGCCTTGTTCGTGGATGAGGCTGGCTGGAAAGGGTCAAAGTACCAGGTAAACATGCTTTATTTCGAGTTTAATTCACGGCTTTGAAAACTCTGCCATGGGGATTAGGGTTGGGGTGCTGTATATGCACATGCGAAGACATCATGTGATGACGCGGGCTTACATGGGTATGGCTGCAAAGCTTTAAGAAAGCTTGAACAGGGACATGGCTTTCATAAACACCCCACATACCGTAAGTCGCCCAACAACCCTTCGCCCTCTGACACATCAAACGTTCCCTAACGGAGATTGAATATGTTGTCGGGTTATTCTATCCTAGGGTTTGGGGGTGATTGATATTACCCTTCAACCTCAACCACGTCTGGGACCCTCAAATAGGAATTCATATAGCGGGACCTACACCACAAGAGGCCAAGAAATGGAGCGGTTCGTTTGAACGTTCAGGAAGCGGCACACGCCCAAGACCTTGGGTGAACCTACCAAATCCCCAAGCCCTGAAACGCCTACGCCCCTAACTGCTTCACCATAACCTCCCCAAACAGGCGCGCAAACCCGTACAGGCTCGGTTGAAAGGGACACTAATCTACATAGGGAAGTTGTTGCAGTTTCATGTTAATTTTGGGAGGACCGTGAAACTCGCTCAGGAAGTGCGATCAAGTCGCTGCTAATGGACAACGCGGCTGAGCAGACATAGGAGCAGTTCCCGAATGATTTAGGGACTTGTGAGAACTAAATCTTGTGCAGGCTGTAGAAGTGGACCCTAACTTGAAGAAACGTCAACAGTGGTGCTGTCTCAATGTTCAGGTCCCTTCTTATGCACAGACTGTGCAAGGCTTAGGGCTTGTAATGTAGATGCCATGTTCACCCGAGATTCCTGGCAAGTAATTTCGCCAAAGTGGCTCTTTCACTATGCTACGGTGACTGGATGTACCAGGCGTACAAGGGACCCATGTCTTTGATAGCTGCAATTTGAGGGTGTCTTCTTGAGGTCGCTCGGATACTCAGAGCATGTTTTTTGCATCTCTGTGCGGTCCAAGTCCCACGGCAGCGTGACCTTTGAATTTCTGGATCCAGTTTAGCACCCGAAGAATCTGCGCAGCAAGCCTTCCAAAAGGCCCTGAGTTTAGTGAGGGAGTACATGGTAGTTTCCAAAAATGGGGGGACCCTAGTATAGATTCCAATCTACTGTAGTCCTTATTATAGGTATAGGGACTACCCAACAAGGTACCTCAAATTTTGGGAAACTCCCCATATCTCACATGAAGGCAGCATCCGTGATCTGAGGTGGAGCACGTGGACTATTTCAAAGAGCTGGCGGAAGTGGAGCTGCAAAAGGCGGGCTCATGATGGTAGATTCAGCGGAAGTTTGTCAAGATGTGGGGTCGCAGATACTTTGGCCATGCGGAAGTTCGATTCATAGGGGCTGCGCAGGAATTGCAAATGGGGCTTAACTTTGTAGGCAACCTCGTCCCATGGGGGAGGTCCTTCACAAAAAGCATTCAAGCCCCACTGCTCTTTCAGCTGTATCTTCTGACAAGTGGCCACGAGGTGTTCAACCTGCGGCTTTGGGGTGGGGGCTTATGAAGGCCCACTGTCATCATTCCGAAGGTGGCATATCCCAACGCAAAGAATAACATGTTTGCGTGTTGTTCTGTAGGAATTTTCAGTGTTGATGCCTTTGGGCTCTGCACTCATATGAACAACTGTAGTGGAATCTCCTGAAAGTCGGGCTATAATATGGGAGACTTATGAAGGGGGATGCTATAGAAGTTTAGACTATACTTCATCTGCGTTTGGGCCACTGTGGTAAATAGCACAACACCAGCGATAGTGAGAAGTGATCCTTGACTCATGGACTCCTATATAACACCAGTTTCCATTTCATTTGCCATGTTCGTTTCCATTTGACTCTCCACTATCCTTTAACCCTAATCCCTAAACCCTAGACCATAATCCCTAAGCCCTAAACCGTAATACTGTCTCGGATATTGCTTTCTCCGAATGTTACGGTGCAGGTGGTGGACTTGTTTGAGGAGACTTCCTTTCCTCCACTTGGGACGTTCCCTATCAGCATCTGAGAGATAGTACGGTGTTGATTAACTCACATTGACCTCAACATGATATTGATATTAGTCATAATAGCTGTCGTCTACACTCCTTATAGGGGGCTATAGAGGGGATTATAAAATGGAGTATCATAGGGCTTATTTAGAGGGATACCAGGAGATTTGAATAGAGCTCATGTACAGACGAAAAAAAAAAGCACACGGGTCTGGGCGCTGCAGTCATAATATATCCATACATTCCAGAATTCCAGAAGGTCCCCGCTCGATTTCCTCCAAGAGCGATGGTCGTCCCGCAAGGACGAAAGGAGTACATCTACAGGAAAAGCGATTTCCAGTGTGACGTCATGGTTCAGCGGGATGTAGTAAGGTATTGCGGGATCCTTTCAGATCGGTCAGCAAGCGGCGGATGGAAAGGAGCGTTAAGACTTTAAACCCTAAACCCTAAACGAGGTTTAGGGTTTAGGGCATTATGACAGGCTCACAATTTTGAAAACCTCCTCTTCCCCTTCAAATCCAAGCCTCGCACTTTTTCGAAAAGTTTGGAACTGATGAGGTGCAAAGGTGAGGAGAGGAGGCTACCAAAAGTCCACCAGTCTGGGTAGGCCCCTGGGATATTTTGTAGATTTTCCCTAACGACTTTAATAAGGGACCCTATATACTAATATTTTTCAAAGGGTTTTAGGTGCCAACCCAGCAGTAGTTTGCAGCAACCTTCAGGGTAGGCACGTTCACAGCATGCCAGCTATTACTGGAGCAGGGTTTGAAACATCTGAATCCCGCGATGCCTAAACTTATAGTCTCTCCCTGCACCATGAACACCTTGCCCCGCACCCCGCACCCGGCCCGCAATCTTAGATACCTGCCATACTACTTCGTGATAAGTTCATAACACTGGGCAGCACTTACCATTCGGGGCCTGGATGTGCTGAATAAATGGGGTACTGCCAACTTCTTGACCGTTGGATATTCTTTCAAATTATAGTCACATATATACATATATATATATCTACATATCACTTAATATGACCCCTATCATGGACTCTTGATGGGTGGGGGCAGGACCAAAGGTAAAACAGAGGCAGAGATGCTAAGGATTGTGTCTGCGGGCGCGCCTGCGCAGTTGATCGTCGTCGTAGCTGGCCAGGCAAGACGGGCCGCTTCCGCGCAAGTCCGCGTGGAGGTTGTTCAAATGATTCCAACACGATCCCTAAGGCGACCCGCATCATAAGTTCCTATATGAGCTATAATCTAAACTCCTTTCAGGGGGTTACATGGGGGATTAGAATTATAGGGGAGTATTTTAGAGGCTATTAAGGGGGATACTAGGAGTTTAGACTATAGCTCAAGTGATGCCAACACGATCACGAAGAGAAGCTCCCAAAATAAGTTCCTGTACAGATCCCTGTACAACCCGAACCCAAGTGAGGGCGACCCTCTTCCGAATAAGCATATCTCAAGTCTTCAGGGTCAAGCATGTCTAATGTCTTCTGGAACCCTAAACCCTAAACCCTAAACGCCACTCTGATGTCCATCAGCCTCGAGGATTATGGATAACTGGCAGTTGTGAGCACAGTCAAACATCTAAATCATAGGCCCCTCTGGGGTACCCTTCATACGCAGGGCCGCATTATCATGAGGACCCCAAAAGGGACCAACCACATGTGTAGTTCTAGTTTCTGCCATATTTGTGAGGTATTTACAGCAACGGTCAGAGCTACCGATATCCCTAAACCCTAAACCCTTACCTCTCCAAGTATCGCTGTGGAGGTGGCCATACTTGGTCCTGATGCTGAGGAGGCGCAAGACGCAGCCAGCTTAGCAAACCAGGCCCATTTGGGGTTTATGATTTTAGGTTTTAGGGTTGTGGGTTTAGGGCTTAGGGTTTAGGGCTCAGGGTTGTTGGTTTAGGGTTTTGGGTTCAGGGCTTTGGGTAAATCATGTGGGGCTCGCGGGGTAATCTGAGGGCTGACTTGTGAATGTGTCCAACCATGTGTGCCCTTTAGAAGCCCTAAACCGTGTGTGAGGGATTGTTTTTGGTTGAATTCCTGAGGTTTGGGATTCTGGGTTTGAGGGTGTTTCTCAAGATAGTCCATGTGTTGACCATTCTGGGGACTTACGGTTTACGGTTGAGGGATCGTCAGCTTGATGGGGGGGACCTCATTTTGAGAAATAGCTTAAGTTTCAGGCAAACTTAGAAAGCCATTATGAGAGTGTGCGATAATGTCATGGATGTTTTTTGTTGGCTGGGTTGGGAACCAGGCTTCTGTTCCAAAATCTGGAGACTGCACAGTATGTAGTGGTAGTTGACATGTCTTTTTCTAGTACTACTGGTTGCCCTTGTAGCCCTTCGATAACTATAGGCCCAAGAGCCAATTCTAATTGTGTACGCCCCTACATGACATTACCGCTACTGATTCTTCATTGAGAATAAGGGAATATACAATATCTATAGATTATACGGGGATTGTATTTCCTTATTCCCAGCTGAGAACCAGGAAGTAATACTTAACCCTCCACTCTCCAGGGAGTAACTACATGATTTGTTTCTGGAGCTCCGGAGGCAGTGAAGATTGTGCTGCCGGGACAGCTGCATGGTGCGCAGTCCTTGCTTCACAACACGCCCATGGAGTACAAGCCCCTGTGCTGAAGGAAGATTTGGAGACTGGTAAGAATCCCCAGACAAACCCCATATATAGTCCCCCTTAAGTAGATAGAATATGGCGTATATGGGGATCTTATTATAATGGGCCCAAAGCCATTTTTTATCTACTTCCGGGCCTTAGGGGGGACTATATCTCCAGGGTCCTAAGTGTACCATCCAGCTTAGAAACTTCCACATGAGGGTTTCGTCCTGGGCCGCTTCGTAGGGAGGCCGGTCCTATCATCTGAGTTCTACTTTGGGTCATTCCCCCTCCCAGTAACTGTCCTTAAAGGGGCCTTATTAAAGGGGTTCTTATAACTCCTATTGTGGTAACAGTTCCTGTAATGGGGAATGACCCGAGTTCTACTGGTCATAATGTTGTAGCCTTAGGATGCATCAGGGGAAGAGGATGACTGTTGAAGGCCTTCATGGGGACGCCAGAGGGTCGATGGTATAGAAGTGCGAACTGAGACTTAAAGAACGTATCCATAATTTCAGCCTTGTTTAGGGGGAACAGCTGCTATAAGTACATTAGGTTCCACCTAGGAACCTCCATGTACTTCGGCCTGACCTGGATGGTAAGTTAGTCTTCATTGATGGAAAGGTTGTGTTGCGGCCTATCATGGAGTCCTCTACACATCTACTCCCTCAATCTGCAGAACTAATGTCCCCCTCCCCCCCTGCCCCCGTCGCGCCTTGCCCTTCACAACAAGGACACGTGAAGGGAGAAGAGCCATTTAGGCCCATACCCTGTGCAAGTCCCCATGCAATTCCATCTCCATCTGCAGCTCATTCTTGAGGCTTGTGGCTCTGGAGAACACGCAACTGCACAGGGTATCACACAACATGGTCTCCCAAGTCCTTGGAAGCAACTTGGAGACACGCAGCTCGGGGCTTTGTGTGGGCTCAGTTCGGTCATATTCTCCGCATGGAAGATCATGGAAGAAGTAAACAACCGACCCCTGCAACGCAAGTCACATTTGATGCTGCTCTGCTTGTGTGTGAGGACGAGGCTTGGGTCCAGGCAGGGAAGTAGTGCCAACTACGAACGACGTGCTGCCGTATCAGGTGACGTAGGTGGATATCACCAAGCCCTTTCCTCAGCTACACTGGGAGGGTCGTAATATGAAACACCCCCTCCGCCCCAACAAGATAGGATTCTAAATAGTCGGGGTCACCCAATCAAGTTTCAGCAAACTTCTGTGTGGGGGGGGGAGGGGTTTCTCGGGCCGTGTCAATTAACTTTCCATTGCCGGGGATCATTCCGGTTCTCAATTTAGCGAAAAGTTCGCTCTAATTTGTCCCATTCTGTACCCATTATCACGAATCCGTTCAGCCAAAAGTTCGCTCTGTTTCGAAGCCACCTACCGTTGCGCCCCCAACATTTTGATGAATTATGCGCTGTCTAAAAGCTAATTTACCTATGTCAACTTCCTTCCGTTCTCCTACGATGCGCAGTGTGTTGCACGTAATGTAAACCTCCGATTAATAACACCCTCCCCTTCATAGGAATTATATTCGGGATCCCGATATTAAGGTCCTTAAAGGGAGCGGGTTCATCAATAACCCTAGATAGTTGTTTCCATTTTCTTTTCCATATCCCTATATAATCCCTATATTTCCCCTATATTGCTATATTACCCCTCTAAGGCCCTTAAAAGGAGGGGGTTTATTAATCTACATTAGGCTCTCCTCAGGTGACCTCGGTGAAGTTGTCCGGTTCAACGAGATCAAGCGCGTGCTTGGGGACATTTTCTTGTTCAAAAACTTGCAAAATGATCAGATGGACCCACGGCAAGCAATTACAGGTGCGGTGGTGCTGTCTTAGCAGGGCAAGCTCGTGCACTTGCAAAATGCATCCCCTTGATAAACAGTTACTGGTACTTTCTTGAGAGTTTTTGAGATGGGGGAGGTGATGGCTTTATTGCTAGGGGGAGGAGCTTAGTGTGTTCTTGGTCCAATTGTTGCCCCAGTTTGAAGCCGGTTGCTGAATGGCCGCTTGGAGCTTTCATTCATCTGGGCGCAACAAGTACAACTCACCGAAACCTTATCCAATCCTTCATCGTCTTGGCCATGCCTTGACCAAGTTGGGGGCTCTTGGGACAGTTCAAGGCTGTCATTGTTGATCGCGAATATGATGGGACGGTACGTGAAGTCCGGTTGGGCGGTCTTGAGGCGTAGGAGGGCGCGTGCTAGATTGCGCTCGGCAGGAATGATGCGGACTCATAGGGACAAAGACCCCAATAGCAAAGCACTGCATCTTACTACGCAGCAGTATGAAGTACTTTGGATTTCCAGAAAGCTGCCTGCCATAAATGATGTGCCCATAAAGTCTATAAAAGTGCTCCTGTTTGCTTCTTCGGTGGTTATCAGGCAGGCGGCATGCTCCCTACATAGTATCAGAATAGAGCAGTTGAAAGCAGGATGGCCCTGCAAAGACATGTCCAAGTGCATTTTGAAGATTTTTTTGTGGCTGACATGCCTTCAAGTGGGTGCTGTGGTGCGATTCATCGTACGCATCCGTGGCTCTAACCATTCTCGGCTTCGGCCATCCAACCAAAAGGAGACTTAGGAACAGTGGCCCCGCGAGCCTGTTTTCTCTGCCCATGTAAAAGGTAAGCTAGGGATCCAGGTATACAAATATTGTTAACATTGGGCCCAAAAGTATGTACATTTTACCTACATGGGGCTGTTTGGATCCCTATACATCCCTACAAGCTCCAATTTTCATTTTCCATATGCTTTTCCATTTGATTCTCCTTTATTTGGGGAACACACTGGGCTATTGGGATGCCTAACCCTACAGCCTGTACTACCTACATTGGGCTATTTGGATCCCTAGGGGTGGGTATGCAAATGATTCAAGGAGCGCGTAGTGCGCAGCTTCGAGAAATGCAGCTGGGCCATCAGACAGTCTTGCTTCTGTAGGTACTTGCTTCTGTAGGTACCCCAGTAGTAGCTTGTTCCCTTCCTATTTTGGGGTCTCCTTATTAAAGCTGAACATTAGCAGAAAGGTTGCCCTTATGATTTAGGGTTACTGGGGAACCTAGTGCTTGTGAATAGAAATGAAGGAGCCGTAAACATACTGGCAATTGCCTCAGGAGCCCATTCCATCCCCACATTCCCAACTGTCTAACAAATGCCTGCCATGCAGTGGCAAGAAGCGCCTGGTTTTCTTGTAAAACGAAACCCCAACTTTGATGGCAATGAGACCCAAGTGGGCAAGCCAGCTTCAGCCACAAAGATTGGAACAAGTTAGAAAAACCCCAGGACAAGTGACATCCTATGCACCTTGCCAGGGAGTCGACCCCTTGCTGTAGCTAAAGTCCTCGATCAAGAATTGAGTGGTTACTAAGTTTTGGAGTTATCCTCTCTGAGCGAACTCCTGACAAGTAGCTTTCATCGAGCTACTGTGGCTTCCCAGGGCAAGTGTAGCTTCATTGTCCTCAGATGTCTGCCACTTACTGTCAAGGGTAGGCTGAATTACTATTTTATCCGGTCGCCAAAAGTGCCGTTACTTTGAAACCCTACTCCACAACCTGATCGCATGAAACCCACGTGCGAGTTGCTCGAAATCATGTGCTTGATTTGATACCTGGTCACACTAAGGAAGATGCTATACAGGGACCCACCAGTGACCACAATTTGCAAAAGCCTCAACATGAAGCTCCACATCTCAGCTGTTTTCTGTCACTATTGTACGAAAACCCAGTAAGCCCCAAAGAATGCTAGGCCCAGGTACAGAGGGTGCCGTAGTAGGCACATGAGTTGTTTTGTTTGGAAGCCCTAAACCGCCAACCCTGAACCCCAAACCCTTCAGGTGAGTATGCAAGCGGACAAAAGGTGGTGGAGCAGGGGGAGGAGGCTCCAGGGGGAATTGTTGGTATCAGTGTTCGTATCTGCGTATCTGCATTAGTTAGTCAGTTAACACTAGCTAGTTCGTCGTAGTAGTAGTAGAAGAAGGAGTAGTAGCAGTAGCAGCAGTAGTAGTAGCAGTTTATAACGTGTTCATGGGCTTGGAGGTAGGATTTACACTCTTGGGCGTAGCAACTTTCTGCTGCATCAAAAGAGTTCAAGTTTATGTGGCCTGGGAAGGAAGATTTCGCAGCACTAGTCATGGCAATGCAATTACAGCAGTAGTCGCAATACTGATCTATATTTCGCTACTGGCATTGTGGTCCAAGCGCTGCTGATTCAGTTCATGGAATCTGCAGATTGGGAAGCCCATTCCGTGAGCTAAAGGCGAAAGGTTCAGCTTAAGATCCAGGACCGAAGACCTCCTCCTCGCAAGGCTCTACTCCCATATTGCCCCATATGGGCTATGCCGAAAATATAGTTCCCTGTTGGGCCTCTTGACATGGAGGGAGCGGGAATAAGAAGAGCTGATACTTAGGTTTTTGCTGGGTATGTAGGAACATGGAGACCCAAGATTGGCACCTAGAAAGCCCCAATATACCCCCTATATAAGCTTTATATAGCCATTCTACAGCGTATGTTTTATCTACTTGAGGAAATTTGCAGGATGCAACCTTGGCAGGCTACATAACGGTTATTTATATATATATACATGACTACATTTATAAAGATTATGAAGATACCCTTTCAACACCATGTATAAAACCTCTATGATCTAATAATAGGATTCTCAAAGTTTTCATTCACCACGTGCATAAGCAAATGCATACCATGATTATATGAAAATCCTACAAGACCACGAAAATCAGCATTCAAAAGTGCACGCCCCCGTATATGGATTATATAGGGGTTATGTAGGAGCGTTGGCTGCTGTTGGGTCGCGGAGGACTATGGTTTAGGGCACAAGTTTAGGGGAAGTTTTAGGGACCTTTTTGCGAAGGCAGGAGTGGGCCCAGCTGGTCCTGAAATCTAGTCTCTATACCCCCTATATAAACCCTAAATCCTAAACCGTAACTCTTAACCCAAAAATCCTAAACGCGGTGAGGATGAGCCATGATTCCTTGTCCCTACCTGAAGGCCAACCACTTCTACCTGATCCAGAGCGGGACCATTGCCATCTTTCGGAGCCTGGGTCGGCCGAATTTCTGTAAAAGGGGACCCGAGTTGAGTAGTATTTTTTGGGGGATACGATGGTACCCAATAAAGAGTAAGATCATATCCTCCTTTTGGGGTATAGTTTTTTATGTAAGGAATACAATCTTACCAGGTTCAACCACCAAAAAAAACATTATTCAATTAGGGACATCTAGGGAATATATGTAGGGGAATGGACAAGAAAATGGAAACTGCTATTTAGAGAGTAGGGTTTGCCTAGTTACTGGGTTGCTCTTAAGGACTATGCTTAGGGGGTTATGGGTTCAGGTATTTAGGAGTTAGGGGTTTAGGTTTTAAGGGGTTTAGGGGTTTAGGATTTAGGGTTTTAGGAGTTTAGGGGTTTAGGGGCCTAGGGCTCAGGGTTCAGGGGTTTAGGTGCCATAGGCATCAGGATGTAGGTTAAATGTTCCTCCCCCCTTTATGCAATTTGGAACGGAAACCTGGCGACGGCACCCTGCCCCTCCGAGTGCTGAAACGCTTGGTACCACATGATAACATCGTGAGCGCTGCACCTATGAGCCATTAAAGGTGGCTTAGGATGCAAGCCTTACGCAAGTCAGATGTGCCAGCTTCCGTTGCTCCTACCCTCCCTGCCGGCGCTGAATCTTGGGTACTTGCCCCTTCTCATCAACGGTTGGAAATTGTTTAATATGACTATATGTAGATATAGCCCTTAGATAGTATGACCTTATCATCGACTATTCATGAGTGGGGGGCAGGACCCAAGCCAAACGCTCCACTTGAACATGTCCAACTTATCCGGTTCAGGATAACACTTCAGGCAGCTTAGGATTAACTTACTGGTTCTTAGTAGGAAATAAGGGAGTATGTTACATAGGGATTATATACGGATTCCATTCCAACTTCCCTACTAAGAGCAAGTAAGTTTAAGAGCATAGGGTTCCCATCTTAGGTTCGTAGGGTTGAGGGTTGACACACGTTTCCGACTGGATTCAGGAATGGCGAGCGTCTCCGCAGTTTGCTGAAGTGGGATTACTTCGGAGAAAGAGGCGGGGTGCGAAGCCAATCATGCATTGTGCGCTGCCCGTCGAGGAACTGTAGTCTTGTAGTCCGTTCAGCCCTGTGGAGTCCTGGACTCCAAGCCCCAAATGAAATCTGTGTTCAAGCAATGCACTTAGATGCGCAGAACGTCTGGACTGAGACGTTCAAGTGATGGTCTGCCTAAAGACTAGACGCATGTTTGACATGTAGAGAATTCATGAGTCATCATTGGAGCCCCGAGCACCCTTACGCCTCCCTTGCAGAACGAAGAGCGACATGAGGCCTCTAGTAGCCCCGAGGCTTGCAGTTTTCTTCCATGTAATAAATGGGCCAAACTGGGCATCTCCAAGCAGAGCGGTTGCCCTTAAATACGCCAACTTGCTTGAATGCCAAGAGGCCCCTAATGTCTGCAACCCCTGAACCTATAAACCCCTACATAAATCCGGTGTCCATTTCATTCAACATGTTCTTTTACAATTCGTTCTCCATTTTTTGGGACAATATACACCACCCAAAGCCCTACATAACCTGTATATATATATGTGTATATATATATGTATACATAAACCCACGTATGCCAGTCTACCCATAAGCCCGAAACACTATACCCCTTAACCGGGTTTAGGTTTTTGGGTATGTAATTCAGATGGGTAGTTCCCAAAATTAGGGTCCAATATTGGTAGCCCAAATATTAGGTGTCGTCTATAACCCAAAGGTGCTCATAATTTTGAGAACAGCCCATAAACTTATTCGTCTATACCCCTAAACTCTGGACCCTAAACCCTGGTATATACCTTCATATGCCCCTACCTGAACCCCAAAAGTATGTAGAATAATGGCCTTTTGGGCTGTTATTATGGGGTTTAAGGCAATTATTTTACATACGTTTGGGGGCTTAGGTACATATCCTTATGATCCTACATGCAACTTTGAATGGAGGCCTTCTTCTTCAAGAGAATCGCTCAGCAACCTGTCAGGCTGGGTTTAGAGTTTAGGGTTTAGGGTTCAGGATTTAGGGTTTAGGGTTTAGGTTTTGGGGTTTAGGGTTTGGGGTTTGAGGTTTAGGATTTAGGGTTTAGGGCTCCCTAGGGGTCCGAGTACCCAATAAGTATGTACTTGGGATTTAGAAATCCAACAGTAATTCTAGCACAGGCTTTGGTCAAGTATATGAGCTATAGTCTAAACTCCGAGTATCCCCCCTAATATCCCCTATAATAGTCCCCTATAGAATCACCTATATCACCCTTTAAGCAGTTTTAACCCGAGGCCCTAAATCCAAAACCTGATCTACCACCTTTTAAGGAATTTAGACTATAGCTCATATTGTGACCATTGGGTACTTGGACCCGTAGGACTTGGATTCAGATGGCATGCACAGGGCCCTGTTGCTTACTTGGGGTCAGTAGGGAGTTTAAGGTGTACGTTTAGGGCTGCTTAGGGTTTAGGATTTAGGGTTTAGGGTTGGATTCAGAGGCATGCCCATGGCTCTTTTGCTTAGGTTAGTAGGGGACAATGGAATATCCATAAAGGGATTATATAGGGATTAGATTCCCTTATACCCTGCCAACCACCAGTAAGTTTGGGTATGCGGTATATAGGAGTTAGGGTTTGGGGTTTAAGGGTCTTGGGTGTAAGGGCTATCTAGAGTTCAGGGTTCAGGGCTACAGTTTATGGTTTAAAGTTTAGGGTGCCCAGAGCCCTAAACCCACAGAAAGGAGTGCCTGGGAGTAAGCCCTAGACCCTATAAACCCTCAGGCCCTGAGGACTCAAGGTGTCGATAGTTTGAATCATCTCGCCCCCTCCCCTCGTTGTGCAAGTAACACTTGCAGGAGCTGGAAGCGGAGTGGCTCTTGAAAATAGTAACTGCCATTTTCTTTCCCAATACACCCCCAATATATCCCAAATGCAACCCCTAAGTGATCCCTACAATCCCCGTAGGTTCCGTTTTCTTTTCCGTGGTCCCATATATACAGTATCTATATATCCCCTTTATACCCCCTATATCTCCCCTATATACCACCCCTGACCCGTTTGGGTTCTCAGTAACCCTGTATGCATCGCAGACCAGGCCGTGACCTTCAACTCTACACAACGGGGCAGGGGTTATATAGGGGTTATATACGGATAATGAAAAGTTAAATGGAAACTACTATTTCTTTAGGGTAGCATGCGACAATTTGAGAAGGATCTATTTTTGAGCTTCCAAAACTGCAGAGTCCATATTCCCAAAGACCGAAAACGGATCGGTGGCTTGCACACACCCAAGGCTTCTTCGAATCCTTATATGCCCTGCAACTGCTTTCAAACTTGACCTCTGCAAAGAGTTCAAGCCCAGCCGTTTTGTGAGCTGCAGTTGTGAACGCAACACATGTCATGCCGCAGGCTGAAGAGCCCTCTGTGCTGCTCCGCCTAGAAAAGGCTGTATTCGCAGCACCTCGGCTCAACCGCTGGCTGTAGGCTTTCTTCTCGGTTTGAAGACCTTGTTCTGGCGTGTTTGGATAGACTGGCCGGTTTAGTTTAAGCATTCTTGAGAAAAGCGCTCTCCGTTCCAATCTGGGTCCAGCATCGCGTAGTACGATGAGGGTGTACATTTCCTTCTTTCAAGCCGAGCTCATGCCAATAAACCTCAGCAGTAAGTTTACATGTCTAACTTTCGCTTTTGCCACTCTATAGGGGCTTGGACCGCTGATCTTTTGCAAAGCCAGACATTGTTGAGAATGATCTGAGCTCGTGCGCTTCTGACGCTTGCCTTAGAATGTCTTTCTGGTAGAGCTGCAGTTCTCGCTTCGCTCATGAGCATGTGCAGCATAGCTTCCCTGTCTGCAGGACATTGTGGGCATCTTCAGGAAAGAGCTAGAGCATCGCATGATGCTGCAAGACCTCAAAATCGAGCCTGGGATGGTTTAAGCATTTAGAGCCTGTCGGTTCCGGCTTTGTATGATTGAAGTGGTTCGGTCTGCATTGCCCAGAAACCCCTCCTTTTGATTACGAGACCATCCAATGACAAGTGCATTCACAGTGGCCAAAGACATACAAACTCCACCGCTGGTGTGAACTCCCGTGGCATTAAGTGTTCGGATGCCTCTCTTAGACGTTCCAACGTGCCATGAGGAGATGTCCGACTTGTACGTCAAGGCAGTAGTCGGCCGGGGCTCCTTCGGGCTCGTGAAGCTGGTGTATCACAAGCGCGACAGGCGATTTGGATGAAAGAGCATCGCTGTTGCTGTTGCCGTTGAAGTAGGGTTCAATAGTAGCAGCAGCGGCAGCAGAGGCAACACCGGCAACAGCGGCAGCAGCAGTCGTTGTAGTAATCGTGAACTTGTGATAGTCGTAGCAGCAGTAGGAGGATCAGTAGCAGTAGTAGGAGTAATTCGTAGGTAATAATGCTTATTGCGACTTGTAGCACCTGCAGCAGCACCAGCAGCCTCAGCATCAGTGGTCGCTGTGGTACAAGTAGATGACGAAATGCAGGAAGCAGACCAACAGGAGCAAAAGCAGTTCTCATAGGATCGGTGATAGCACTGGCGAGGGCGGTAAAGCCATGATATATATATATATGTTTATGTATATGTATATGCATATGAATATGTATATGTATGTATATGTATATGTATATGTATATGTATATATGTGTGTGTGTTATCAGCACCACAGTGTTCTCATTGCCGAAGCCACCGTGAGAGTCTTTTTTGTGGACGAGCCCTTCCAGCTGAGGCAGAAGTATTATGCCTTGAAGTGCATTGGCAAGAAGCAGGTGGTGCAGCAAAAGCAAGAGAAATCTATGCTTCTTGAGCGCGAGATCAACGCGCAGTGCTATCACCCTTGCATCATGCACTTCATCACCACCTTCCAGGAGTGCCCAGCAGCATCTTCATGCATGATCCTTATGCTGGTGATGGTGATGAACAGCTAAAATCTTAACCCGCGCCGCCCCGGTAGGATGCCAAGAACGTCTATTTTCTGACGGAGTTCCTTGGAGGGGGCGACCTTTTCACAGCCATCCGTGAGATTGGCAATCTCAGCAAGCGGCAATCGCAGCACCGCAGTTGCAGCCTATCCTCCCAATTGTTACACGGATTGTGGTCCAAACTATTTAGTCCAGAAAGGCTCTTTCAGGGGTTCCATGCCAGTTTGGAGGAGGGTACACAAGTGACATGTTTAGAAAAAGGTTGGAAACATATACCCTGATCCCTAACCCCGAAACAGTAGTTTCCATTTTATTTTCCATTATCCCAATATAACCCCAACATAACCCCAACATAACCCTGATATTACCCCAATGGGTAGCCCTTTGTGTAAAGTGTCGCAGCATGAAGCGGCTGCATCTCCAAAATCATGCCTAGAGCGCATCGTAATTCGTAGGACCCCTGGAGACGAGCCATAAATTTATGTTAGGGTTATGTTGAGGCTATATTGGGATAATGAAAATGAAATGCAAATTACTGTTTAGGGTTTAGGGATTAGGGTATATGTTTCCAACCGTTCTGCTGTGTCCACCTTGTCTTGTAGGTGTGATCTACGAGAGTGGGGCCTTTCTTACCCAAGTACACTCCCCCCAACTAACATGGAAACCCATATAGCCCCCCTTTAAAAGGACTGTAGTCTTTATAGGACCCTTTTTGGGTTTCCATGTTAGTTTCCGGGAGGGTAGAGTTTCTGTTCTGCTTTTTTTGGTGCTTCATGCCACAAAAATTTGCAACCTCGAACGTATATGATAGTTCAAGGGTCCTAGTTTCAGGGATCTCCGGGCACCCCTTTTTGCATAGATTGGGCCGCAAGGTGATCTAGGTTTAACTATGTTACAATCCCCAGACCATAGATGAGCTATAGTCTAAACTCCCAGTATCCCCCTCAGCAACCCTTATAATGGTCCCGTATATAATCCCCTTTAAGGAGTTTAAACCCCAAACCCGAAATCCTAGACCCTAAGCCCTATATCACCCCCCTTCAAGGATTTTAGACTATCCCTCAACCCTAAACCCTTGAGCATAGATGGAGTCAAGCGAAGGTTCTTCGGAGGCTGCATCACGCTCGCGCTCGAGTACCTTCATGGGCGCTCCATTATGTACCGTGATCTGAAGCCAGAGAATCTGGGCTTAAGTTTCTTATGATTTGTCTTTTTATGTTTGCTTTCATTTTGTATATTTTGGAGTTCATGGTTTGGGATCCTCAGGGCTAAGGCCACAGGGTGTAGGGTTTAAGATGGTTTTGTTGGATTTTCTTCGAGCACTTTGCACTTCTGAGTTTTACACATACTTTGACAAGATTTTTTGAGTCAAGTTTGAAAGTTCAGCTGCCCAAGCCTTGATCCTTACAAACTATATGCCCAGACCTTGGGCCTAAATGTCGAATCTTCATCCTTCCATTTTTGTATTCCGTTAACCTTATAAACCCTAAATCCTAAACCCCTGAACCCACAAACCCTACACCCCTAAACCCCAAACCCGCAAGTTCATCTCAGGAATGTCGTTCTGGATTTTAGAGGGAATGCCAAGCTGGTGGACTTCGGTTGCTGCAAGAACCTGGTTTGCGCGTTTTAGGTTTTACGTTTCAAGGGGGATATATAGGGGTATAAAGGGATGTATAGCGGTATATAGGGGTATATCAGGATATATAGGGATATATATGGTTTAGGGTTTACGGGGTTCCCAAAGTACCTTTTTGGGGGTTTGTAACGAGGATTGTAGCATCTTCCTGGTTTATATTGAGGTCCCCGACTTTGGGAGCACCGCCCCTCCCTGCTGGCTTGGTTGATGGGTACACCTTACGTAGACCCCCATCCTGTAATAGTGGTAGAACGGGAAGAAAAGAAGGCCCTAATATGATCACCATTCTTACTATTACTGGGTGGCGGTTCCACCTACGGCACACCTGAAACTTTTGTGGTTGAAGCTAATTCTAATATGGTGGTAACCAGTTCGTGTTTGTTCGACCCAACTGTGTCGTTCCTTAAGCAAAAGCACACTGCAATTCGACAAGCAAACAGCACAGTTGCAACACGCTTTATACTCTTGATTGTGCTCGAAACTATACCAGTCGGAGAGGGTCTGTAGTAGCTTACAGGACTGTGATGATGGCATTTTTGGTGGCAGTACTTATAGTAGGCGCCTCTTTCGCACAAGGCAAAGCAATGCTTATCGGTCAGTCATCTTGCTTATGACATGAAACGATCTGGGCTGCTGCTAGGGAATTTAGGGCAGGTTGTCATGACGTGGATACGCACCTGGTAGCTGAGTTTGACCTCCTCAAAAGCAGCCGGGTAATGATGGCAAGTGCCGTGGTTGTAGCTCTGATGCATGACAGGGTGGTGGCAGGCATGTGTTCACATCTACCCCACAAAACCACGGAACCCTGTCATGGGCTCCCCAGACAAAGACGGTAGTCTTTGCCATTTTGGAGCCCCCTATGTGATTCGTTGCTTGGGAAGTGTAGCAAGAAGTGGATGTGAGAGAGTGAATCCAGGAAGTGTCTTCAGTCTAACACTCTTGTGGGCACCCCGGAGTACTTCGCCCCTGAGAGCATCATTGGCAAAGGCCGGAAGCTCCAAGGGATGCTGAGCCAGAGTTTCATTCTGGAAGGGTGGTTTTTTACTGAATATGTGAGGGCTACAATGTCAGACAAAGCCTGGGTGTTATAAGAATTCCAGGGTGCCTTCCTTGTGCGACGTCTTTGGACAACAGTACAAAAGTCCTACTCTGGTGTGGGATGAGGGTCCTGCCATATTCAAACTACTCCGGCAGTTCAGTTCACCCGTTTCGTAGAGGTGTTTCACGATAGGAGTTCGCGAAGCAAACGATGCTCCTGTCCTTAGGTAACATCGGCCCGATCCTGTACCTCAAGACCCAATTGCCATGAAAAGCCTATCAGGGCGTAACAAGCGCGTGGACCAGGTAGAATCCTCAAACCCTATGCCATGCCCCCGCCGCAGCACGATTCCAGACAAGCCTTTTGCATGGCAGGCTACACATGCGCCGTTGACTGGTGGGCTTTAGGGGCGCCCCCCTCAGCTATCGCTCCTGATGAACACGAGTCCAGCAGAGACTGTTGTGAGGAGCACGTGCTTACTGAGGGTGGCCTAGAGCAGTATACAGCATATGTATATATAAGAGAGTCACATCGCAACATGACGTGATATCAAATCACGACCGTGTTTCTTTTAAGGGCAAGGGAAAATGTCGGCACAAGCAACATCATACCAAGTCTTGTATTACTACTTCCCCTTGCTACTTACCCCATCACTTCTCATAGTGCTGCTTCCAGGCCTCCTCCTGGGTGCTAAGGTGATGATGCACGAGTTCATTGTCGGCCCACTCCCATTCGGCACACGGCTCAGCGATTGCCCCCCTCCCCACCCAACTGGGTTGCTGTTAAGGAACTTAAATTAAGTTACCATAATGGATATATATAGTAAATAATAGGGTTTCCCCAATATAGTAACTTAATTTAAGTTCCTTAACAGCAACCCAAACATGCAACAACTTCCAGAGGACTTCCGAACTGCAGCATGGCATTTTGGATTGGTTCATTGCTTTATTGCACCGAGCGCAGAAGCCCGTTTGAATTTGCCGCAAGTCTTCAGTTACTGTGCTGCACACACAATACTTGAGATCGATCTCGAACATGTGCGTCGGACGGTCGTGATGCTGCACTGGTAATGTAGACCCCTAATTAATAACCCCTCCTCCGTTTAAGGGCCTTAAATTTAGCTTCCTTACTATAATCCGTATTAAGGGGCGGGGGACATTCATCAGGGGTCTACATTATACTTTCTTTTTAACTTCAGCTGCCCTGTCTGGAGTCCTTGCACATCTAGTGCCCCTTAAGCAAAACAGAATATGGGGTATATGGGGATCTTATTTGGCTAGAATATACCCAAAGCCATATTCGAGATCGGGACTATAACATCAGATCGCTCAGGACGGGACACGGACGACCAGCTCCAACTTTTGAAGGAGATTATGGAGGTGCCTGGGATTGCTCGATATACCATAATATATTATAAGATACTATACTGTACTATACTATACTCTACTATACTATACTATAACATACCAAATATACTAGAATATACCACCTGCCCAGGTTGGTTATTGGCATGTTGTCATTGATTTGTTCTTGGTATGGCTGAAGGTCATCATTGCAATGATTCTTCGGGTCTTTGACAGACCTTCAGGCAGATTGCGTATTGACGGTGCATGCAGGGCCTAGCGCGCAGGTAAGAGAGTCTGGAAGTAGTTCAACTGTTCAACTTCAGGAGCGGGAACCACCGCAGATTATCCTGAGGTCAATCGTACTTCAGATCAACCCTAAACCCTAAGCCCCATGTCCCCTCCAGCAGTCCCTGCGCTTCCTGAGGATTCCGACCTTTTTAGTTCCTGCCCTCTAGCCAGCAGATTCCAAATCGCAAGCCCTCAGCCCCGAAATTCAAGCCGCTAGGGATTTCCTCAGCACGAAGCACGCACTCCCAAAAAATCTCAACCTCAAAACCATGAAACCCGCAACTCCAAGGAAAAAACCTCAGTCCTGAATTCCTTAACCCTAAACTCTAAACAACGTTTATCACGAAGGCGCCTCTTGCCTTTCCAAGCTACATCACTGACAAGGCTGCCATCAGCCCCTTGGGCAGACATCAGCTTTGCGGGCTATGAAGAAGTATATGGAGATATATGGGGCAAGAATCTGTATGTGTGTGTAATATATGTATATATATATACATATGAACAGATATATAGATAGATAGGGTTTAGGTATGTTTCGGGTATGGAAGGATGGGAATGAAGGAGTGGGAAGGAAATCGAAACTACTGTCTAGGGTATGGAGTGTTTATCTCCATAATGGAGAACTCAATGGAGAAGAACAAACCCCTAAACCCCAAACCCATAATGAAGTTGAAGCTGGGATGCTAAAGAGATGTAGGGTTTAGGGCTAGGTAGCAGAAAGGGATTTTGCGAAACCATATTACGGTTGATAACGATAGCTGCAAGAGACTGTAGGACCAGGCTCTGCTTTGGGTGTACATATAGTCCCCCTTAAGTAGATAGAATATGGGGTATATGAGGATCTTATTATAATATACGCAAAGCCATATTCTCTCTACCTAAGGGGGACTATGTCTAGGTTCTAGGTTAAGGTTTTGAGGGTTGGGGGTCTGGGGTTCAAAGGGCTTGGGGAAGGTTTGGGGTTAGGGGTCCGGAGTTGAGGGTTCGGTGTCTGGTACTTTTTGCATGGTCGGAGCATGACTGCTCTTGGTATGCGTGGCTTGTGTTGCATTTTGATTGGTACGTTGGTTCTGTGTGGAGTGTGGCGTGTGGTTGTGGCTGTTGGCTGTAGTTAATTATGAGCTTTGCACTGTCTGCGTTTGCATCAGCACGTGCGCCTGTATGGGATTGCTGCCAAGGCTTGAACAAGAAAAAAGATTATGCTCTGGTGGGCTTATATAACTTTAATTCAGTGAATCCCAACATCCCATTCTGATTGTTCCAGATCTGCATTTCGATTATGTTTGTGGTGACTCGCGGGCTGACTGCGTGGACCCACCGAAGTCTGCTTCATCACCTGTATGGATCCCCTGTAAATGATCCTTGACTCGTAGTCGTAGTCCTCCATTGGCGTCCAGGCATATAGCACTACATAGCCCGGACACTCCATCAATTACCATCGTAGTCAGAATTGTTTCTTACTTCTGCTGTTTGTTAGCTTTTGTTACGCGAGTTATGCTCATGCCACGCAAGTCATTCTCATGCCCTTGAAGTGTCATGATCACTGGCACTTATTATTTCCTATTTTTTCGTAGCACTCCTCTATCTTCTCAGCCTGGGGAGCTGAATACCAGTGTTTCTGTAGCGAAATCCATCTCAAGCCACCCACCTAAATCCTAACCCTAGACCTATATAGACCCTACCTAAACCCCAAAAGTATGTAAAATAATAGCCTTAAACCCATAATAACAGCCGTAAAGGCCATTATTTTGCATTTTAGGGTCCAGGTAAACCCTGAACACCTAAAACCCTAAACCCAGAGGCGTGATCTCCCAGCTCCTGGAAAGGACCTGGATATCTTCCGGCTTTGAAAGTCTTTGAGCACTGAAATGGGTGTTTCCACCATTCAGGCGGTTCCAATATGAAGGTCTATAGTCAACTACACTATTGGGGTTTGCCACGATCACTTTAGGGCTTAGGGTTTCCGGTTTATGGTTACCCTTTTGGGGGTCCCAATGATAGTATTTTTGAGTCTATATTGGGAGACTACCACATCGGGAAGGCTTACGAGTCTAACGGCTTGAGAACCAAATCTTTGAAGCTTAAGAACCTGAACCGTGAGTGTAGGTAGGATCTTAGCTTGAAACCTTTTGCTTAGAGGTTTGGGATCTATAGCCCTGGTATTTCAAAGAGGGCCCCAAACCTTACCAACCCCAATGTGACAAAGTCCGCGCCCCAAACCCCCAAACCAAAACCCCTAACCCTAAACCCCAAGGCCTAAAACTAAACTGAAGGCGTGGACTCCTAAACGTTATGACAGCCTTACCCGAAATTGTGGTTCTCATAAGTGTTCACAAAACCCGAAGGGCCCTAAAGCCTACAAACATGTATAAGCCAAAGCCCTAAAGCCTACAAACATGTATAAGCCAAAGCCTAAACCCCATTAATCCCTAAAGTCCCAGCCCTAAATCCTCAAATCACAAGAATATAGGAGTTGCCATGTTCATTCCCAGTACTTATTCTCATAATATTACCTCCACCTATCCCTGCATGGGCCCAAAATACAAATCTATAACCCTCGTAATATAACAATCCTACATAAACCTACAGAATCCCCTTCTAAACCTTTGGAACCTGAGAGATGCGTGCCCTAAACCCTATAAGCCCTACACCCTAAACCTTAGATCCTAAGCCCCAAAGCCTAAATCCTAAAAACCCTAAATCCTAAACCCTAAGCCCTAAACCCTAAGCCCTGAACCCTAAGCCCTGAACCCTAAATCCCAAAACTCAAAGCCTTGATTTTGGAGGACCCCAGAGCTTCGACTCGGTTCAGGCTCCCGGGGTGCAAAGGCGCGGTCCTTTCCTTTGGGTTCTTTGGAAGTGCGGTTTAGGATTTAAGGTTGAGGTTGGGTACTGGGTTGAGGGTTTAGGGTTTGGGGTTTAGGGTTTATAAGGCTTAGGGTTTAGGGCTTTGGGTTCAGGATTTAGGGTCCAGGACTTAGGGTTCAGGGCTTAGGGCGTCTCGCCGCGCGGCGGCCGGGGGTAGTATGTAGAGATGGCGCCCCGACACAC